TCTAGAATCTGGATCACAGCTTTCTGCACATCCTCTCCTGTTCAGAAACTTCCCATAGCTGAGTGTTCCTGAAAAGACAAAACCCATTGCCTATACCAAGGATCCAAAGCACCCTACAGTTTGAGACAAACCCATCATCTGTACATTTCCATATTCTTTCCTCACCACTTGTTCAAGCTGGAGTTAGGATAACTGGCTTCACATCACAGCTCAGCAGTTGACTGAATGTATCACCTGGAGCAAGTTACTTAACTTGAACCTTAAATACTGCACTTGCCATACCTAGCTTTGCCCTTGACAAAGGAGGTGTCAGTGAGGATTAGCTTGTTGTGTCAATGATAGAAAAGTGTTTTGGAAAGGATTAGAACATAAGGGACCGAAGAAGAAGAAAAAGAAGGTGTAACTGGTCAAATCTTTTTATAAACGAGTCTGGCTAAAGGTGACAAAATATAAAAAGCACATGACCTCTAAACCAGAAATCCTGTTTTACTCAATCTATCTTAAATTGAAGAAATACATAATGACAGAATTTTTCATTACAACACTTTGGAATAGCAAAAAAGTCAGAAACAACCTAAGTGTCAATTAGGAATAAACCAAGAAAATTATGTGAGCAGATACTGTGAGTTTTTTTCAGAATTGGTTTTATTTTTTTTAAACAAGCATGTCATTTATTTCTAAAATCAGAATGACTTTTAAAACTAATTTTTTAAAAGCATACAAAGTAAAAAGGTTTCTAAAGGATGTTTTCTCTGGATTCTCAGGGCTAATTATCATTTTACTATAATAAAGGTTCAGTTCAGCTTTTAAAACTAGCCAACATCTGCCAAAAAAAAAAAAAATGAAGGCTAAAATGAAGCAGATGAAATGAAAGATATTTTGGGCATAAAATCAGAAAAAGTCTACTTTTTCACTACTTCCACATATAAAGAAAGGAACTCTTTTCTCTGGCCACATCCTTTACACTTAATCTCGACTATCTTGTTGTTTGGGAGCTCTTGTCCTGAGGGAAACTAGGAAAGGAAAACTAATGGGTAGCTCCTCTGCTGCTAAGAAGACCTGATATTCTCATTCTTCCAGTGGGCAGCTGCTGGAACATCCTAGTGTTGTCACTACAGGATCACAGTTATGGGAAGCAGTGATTATCTGAAAAAATATTGGGCCTTAAGAATGAATTTTAGATTGGGGGGGTTAGTTATTTCAGCTTGAGGACTTTACTTTTTGCATCAAAATGATACATATATTTTTAAAAATCAGAAGACAAAAAACACAGTAAATTTTCCTCTGAAATCATAGTTCACAGCAGTACTTACTATTAACATGTATGGCCAGTGTTACTTTTGCATTTTGTTATTGTTTTCCTTTTCATTAGTCTGTGTTTGCTGTACATGAAGCTTATATTCCTCATGGGGAGCAGGTACATGAACCTAGCACAGCTTGTTAATGTTCCTTTAATCCCCTTCCTCTTCTTGCCCATCTCCCTCTCTCTGTCTCTAAATCCCCTTTCCCCCATTTTCATTATTATTGTTATTATTACTCTTAGCTCATGCTTATGACATAGAGTGTTTACATTCATTGTGATTATTGGGTTCCTGTAAATGGCATACCTTAATTCTCCTTACTTCCCTTTCCCCTTCCCTTCATCCTCCATCTCCTGGATCCCTTCCAATTTGCAAGACATCTATCCACTTGTTTCCTTCTATCCATCTTTTATTATGCTCTTTGTTTGTACTTTCCCTTACTCAAATGAGATATATCACATGGTATTTAAGTTCATGTGCTTGATTTATTTCACTCAACATTATATTTTCCAGGTGCATTCATTTTTCTACAAATGTCTCAAATTTATCCTTCTTTATAGCCAAGTAGTATTCTATTATGTACAGATACCACATTTTTGTTATCCATTCATCTGTTGATGGGTATATAGGCTGCTTTCAGTATTTAGCTATTATGAATTGTGCTGCCAAAAACACTGATATATCACTATAATATGATGTTTTTAGCTCTTTGGGGAAGATCTCTAGAAGAGGAATAGCTGGGTCATATGGAATTTCTAATTTTAGTTCTTTGAGAGATCTCCACAGTGATTTCCATAATGGCTGCACTAATTTACATTCCCACCAACAATGTAAGAGGGTTCCTTTTTTACTGCAGCCATCCCACCATTTGTTATTCCTTGACTTCTTGATGACTGGCATTCTTTCTGGTGTAAGATGAAATCTTAACACTGCTTTAATTTGCATTTCTCTAATGACTAGAGATGTTGAACACTCTTTTTTTTTTTTTTTTTGAGACAGGGTCTTATTATGTAAACTAGGCTGGTCTTGAACTCATGGCAATCCTCCTGCCTCAGGCTCCTGAGTGCTGGTATTACATGCATAAACCACAGGTTCAGGCTTTACTTCTGTTTTTAAAATCTGTCTCTAAAAGCAAGGCACAGTGTTGTGTGCCTGTAGCCTGGCACTCATGTAGCTGAGGTGAGAGGTCAGACTTGGGAGTCTGAGATGAGAGAAAGACAGAGAGAGAGAGAGAGAGAGAGAGAGCGCCCCAATCATGAGATTAGTGCCCCTATAAGAGAAAGAGACTAGAGTTCACTTTCTCCACCATGTAAGGATAGACGAGAAGACAGAAGCCATCTAAAAACTAAGAAGCAGATACTAACCAGTTCCCAGACTGTCAATGCCTACATCTTAGATTTCTTGGCCTCCAGAACTGTCCAAAATTAATGTGTGCTGTTTGAGCCACTCAGTTTATAGTATTAGTTTTAGTATTATAATACAAACTAAGACACTAAGTAATGAGAACCAACCCTTTAATTTTTAAAAATTGAGATATAATTCACATTCCATAAATTTCACCCTTTAAAGTGTAAAATTCAGTGGGATTTAGTACATTCAGTCATACAACTATCTACACTAACTCAAGACATCTTCATCATTCCCCCTTAAAAAAAAAAAAAAAAGAACTCCCCATTCATCAAGAGTCACTGTCCACTCTACCTTTCCCCTAGGCTATGGCAGCCACTAGTCTTCTTTCTCCCTGTATATATTTGTCAATTCTGAATATTTCAGATAAACATGGCCTTTTGTAACCCCCTTCTATCACTTGGGACAAGATTTTTAAGGTTTGTCTATATTGTAACATAATTCCACACACTACTCCTTTCTATGACTGCACAATATTCCATGTAATGGATACACTACATTTACTGACTGGTAGACATTTGACTTGTTTCCATATTCTGGATACTATAAATAAAGCTGCCATAAGGATTTTTATACAAGTTCTTGTATGGACATGTTTTCATGTTTCTTGGGTATATGCCAAGGAGTACAATTGTTAAGCCAAATGGTAACTCTGTGATTAACTTTCTGCACTGACAAACTGTTTTCCACAATGGCTGCATGATTTTATATTTCCACCAGTAACAGGCTTGCAATTTCTCCACATCTACACCATGTGTCTAGTTATACCCATCTTAATAGGTATGAAATGTATTTTGCTGTGGTTTTCATTTACATTTCCTTAAAAATTAATGGTGTTGAACGCTTTTCATGTGAATATTAGCTATTTGTGTATCGTCTTTTGAGAAATGTCTACTCAAATATTTTGTCTATCTTTAAAATTGGGCTGTCTTTTCATCATAAAGTTGTAACAGTTTTCTCAATATTCTGAATTCTAGATCTTTATCAGATGCATAGTTTGCAAACATTTTCTCCTATGCTCTTGATTTTCTTTTCACTTTCAACAGTGTCCTTTGAAGGCCAAGCATGGTGGTACATGCCTGTAATCCCAGCACTCAGGAGGCAGAGGCAGGAGGACTGCTATGAGTTTGAGGCTAGCCTGGGCTATATAGTGAGTTCAGGGCCAGCCTAAACTACAAAGCAATACCCTGTCTAAAAGAAAAAAAAAGTGACCTTTGAAGCACAAAAATTTTTAATAAAATCAATTTTTTTCTTTTATTGCTTAGGCTTCTGGTAGCATATCTAAGAAACCATTGCCTAATCTAAGATCACAAAATTTACACTTAAGTTTTCTTCTAAGTGTTTTACAATTTTAACTCTTTCATTTATATCTTTGATCTATTTTAAGTTAATTTTATATTTGGTGTGAGGTTGAGGTCCAACTTTATTCTTTTACGTGTAGATATCCAGTTGTTTCAGAACTGTATGTTAAAGTGGCTTTCCCCATTGAACTATCTTATAATAAACAACTTTTTAAACTATACCTCAAATGTCCAATAACTGAATTGTAGCAACAATGATAGAACAGTATATATTTATTAAAACTCACAGAGCTTTACAAGGAAGAGTAATTTTTATTGTATGCAAATAATATATCAACAACCTAACATTTAAAAATTCCACCTAGAGAAACACTCACATATAGGATGAAGTGTCATATACAAGGAACATAAGTTTCACAAGAAATGTGTTGTTTGTAATAAAAAGAAACTAGATGTCATGTGAATGTCTATCAAAAAGGAAGTAGACAAATAAAATGTAGTGTAGTCATATGATTGAATCCTATACTACAGTACAAAGGAATAAGCTAGATTCATACATATACATATATATTATCTCCAATGAATAAAGCTCAGAAATTTTTAGGTAAAAAAGAAAAGGGTCCAATAATTTACACAGCATAAAACCATGTAAAAAGAGATAAAAACCATATTACACAGGCTTAATAACTACATATGCCAATACCCAAGGTATCTGTTGAATGATCTGTAAGACTATTCAAACTGATAATATTCATTCATCTGATGTGAAAACACCAGAACTGGGCGGGGTGGTCAGAGAAGAATTGAACTCTGTCATTTTTCCTTCCAAAGGAAAATATATTCATTTTTTTCTATAATTAAAAATTAATAATGTGGAATTTGTGTGAGTTGTAAACAGAGGTCATAAGTGTAGAATCGAAGCTTTTTAATATATGTGTTCATATGTATATCATTGCACCCAAAATACACACACACACAGAGGTGATCTTACCAATTTGGATTTTCCATACTTTCCCTGAAGACAGACTCTTCCTTCATGGATGCATACTGTGTCCATGTAAGGCAGTGACTCCGTATAGCCATGTTTCTTTCCTGAAGATTGAGCCATGATTCTTCTTCTAACTGGATACTAGGAATCTTTAAAATGCTCACCTGTCCAACAGAGGAAGGATGGGTTTCTCGGTTTAGGAAAAATAAGCCACACAGGGACTGCTTCTAAGCTGCTTTCAGTCTTGACAATAAAGAGAACAAGAGTTCCTGCTTTATGGATGATGGCTCATCAATGGCCATGACTCTTGATAATCAAATATACTGTGACCTTATTGAGTGCTGGTGAGGACATGCAAATGGCCCAGGATTTATGTAGGCTATACAATCCCTGGCCTGATTTCCCAAACTGCTAAACGCTAAGCAAATTACCAGCCTCCTTCATGTCTCCTTTAAAGCTGGTTATGGCCTTCTTAAATTGATGAATTCTGATTGGGCCTACTTATAGGCTCCCATGCGGGGAGGTATCAGGTAAAATATTTTCTTTATTTTAAACTCTGTCCAATACCTAGAAATGTATGCTTTCTTAGGTGGAGAAGACATGGAAAATTACAAAGGCAAAAATTGTACAAGTCAGAAGTATTCTTAAATTATTTAAGAATTGAGATACAAGACAAAGTTGAATGTCTTTTTGAATAATAGATTCAAAGTGTGTATGTAGGGCAAAGGCAGGGGATGCACTCTGTGGAAAAAGCCAGTAATAATTTGCTGCTACAGTGCAACACATTTACCATCTGGAGAATAAAAGAAAGTTCATTTTCATTGTCATATTAGCTTTCTTTCCACTAAGAACATGACAGAGTCTTTTAATCCACGGTAAGGAAGTGATGAAAGCTGCCATTTTTCCTACATACAGCACAGCAATTTAATTTGCAAGCTAATCAGCAGGAACCAAGCTGAGTTCTACATCACACACAGAACGTCTTCCGGGTTAAAACAGCCATCTAAGACATTTTTTAAAGTGTGTACTTCCTAACAATTTTTAAAAGATTCTTGTCAAAAGTCCCTCTATGGTTTAAGCAATGCAATTAAAAATTTCCACTCACCTTTCTCCAAAAAATAATCACCAGAATGCTTAAAGGTTTCAAAGAGAAAACAATTTTCTATCATGACAATTGCATTACCAATACTATTTACTTTACAGAAACACACATAGAAAGGCTTACACAGAGTACTAAGAACATTTTAATCTCAGAAATTTCTGACAGTGAATTAGAAATTAAAACTTTTCCTTACTTCAAAATCAGACTAAATATTTATAATCTGCCAACTTCTAATCACTTTAATCTGAGAGTTATTTCTAACCATGGAAAGATTTAAAAACATGGTCATTTCATGCAAAATTCTGAAAGTATCTTTAAAATTATCATAGAACTTCTCTATGTCCATTAAGAACCCTTCACAGAACAGAGAGATGGAGACAAATTATCTCCAGTGACATGTGCCAAAACTGGGTTAGATATGAAAAAGCTTTCTTCCTCTGAAGAGCTATGAAGTGGAAGAAACAGGAAGTCCCAGTGCACCCTTACATCTAAAAATGCTCTCTGTCCATGACTATTAAAAATTAGTCAATGGTACCTCAATGTAATTACATTTTTGAAATGAATTTACCTTCCTTAAAATTTCTGGAATCACATTCTTACAGATTGCGATCCTCTTTCTGTAGATGATTCCTGTTGTTTCATCTAGAAAAAGAAATTTTTACTTAAAAAATTAATTAACAAAATGCATTTCATCTTAATGTCTCAATAAAGCTTTTAAAGTCAATATCAATTTTCTATATGCATGAGTAGAATTTCTGGAGAAAATATTTACTCAAAACTCACTTTCCTTGACCACTTTTTTGGGCCAAATCATAGATTCTCCTTATCTGTGATCAAGGAATTAGGGTAAAACTACAACACACAATGCCATGTTAAAGTCAGGGACTAAAAAAACAAAAAAAAAATCACACTGTCCCTTACTCTGGACTGCCAGTGTCAATGCTTGAGGGACAATGGCCACTGCACTTTCTTCTCTGATCCAACAGAGAATGCTTTAACAGTGAGAAGGAGAATATGAATCTGCCACCTTCTGTACCACAAAGTTTAAATGTATAATAGCCATATTCTTGCCTCATAGCAGAGAAAACCCCTGTGACCAGAACCTGTTTTGGAGAGAAAATTCCAGAGTAATGCTAGTGATGTAAAAAATAATAATAATAAATGTGAGTTGGGGGGGTGCAGAATAAAAAAGACAGACTTCAAAGTGTTCAAAGTGCTGTCACTTGCCCTGTGAATTTATGGGACTCAGCGACTCTGCTACCCACGTTCTCAAACTCTGGATGTTGGAGTCCTGGCCCTTGTTGCAATCATCCTGACTTCCAGAAGCTGCTCAAAGGGTGCAAAATCTTCTGCTCATTCATATTCTTATCCAATATTTGCAACACACATACTTAAAATGAATTAGCCGCTACTGGAGGCAAAGATGACCTTAACAATGACAGAAATCATAATTAATTCTATACCACTTTAGAATATGCAACCATTTTCACATTTGATCTTCACATCAACACAAAAACACAATTATTTCTCCAGTTGACAGATGAAGAAACTGAGCCTCCAAAAAGTTAAGTCATGAGGGTAGTAACAAAAATCAGGTCTTGATGCCAAGTAGTAAGTTTCTCCCACACTGAGTGCAGGCACAAAATAAAATGTTTTTAAATATATTTATATAGAAAATACCCTCACAAGCAAATGGCAGTTCTATCTTTACCAAGCACAGAGAGGGCCTTGGAGTCAAGTTAACCTACAAGTTTATCTCAAGATTTATAAGAAGCCTAAAGAGTGCATTAGGTCAGGACCTGGGTGTCTCCAAAGGTCTGCACACTGATTATATGTACATGGTCTTAGCTTCCTGCGCCTTGCATTCCTCAAGTTCAAACACTGACAGTAACAACTTTTGCCCCAGGGATGAGAGTGACAACAGTAGAGATTTTCTGAAAAGGGGCGCCTGGTAAATAATTTATGTTTCATGGGCCATAAACTCTCTGTTGAAAATACTCAACTCTGCTGTTACAGAAAAAAAGGAGGCATAGATAATAAACAAATGAGTGTGACTACATTACAATAAAACTTTACTTATAAAACATGCATTATGAGTCATTATTTGTCGAGCCCTCCTCTAGTTGATACCGAACCACATTGTCAAGTTCAGTTATGACTCCGTACTGTAATCACTTTATGGTCACATCTCACATATATGCTATTATTCATACCTGTTTTGACATCTACAAATTGATTTATGAATGTATGATAGAGATATATGAGGTATGATAGAAAAATTCAGCAGAGAATGTTTAAATTAAAAACATATTTATTACTGTAAAAGACATGTTGCCATTAATCACCCTCAAAATACTCCCCCTCGTTTTGAACACACTTAGCCCATCATTCTTGACACTTTCTAAAGTGGTTCTAAAAGTCCTCTTTCATGTCTCTAGTCGCACTGTCATGGCTGCCTCAATGTCCTAAATCAATTCAAAACATTTACCTTTCACGGTCATTTTGAGTTTAAGGAAGGGTTGAAAGTCACTGGGTGCCAGCTCTCGTGAGATGAGGTGGAAGAGAACACATCATACAGTTTTCAAGGATCTGCCTCTCACTTGTATGGCACTTGGCAGCGGCATTCACCATTTTTTTTTTTTTTTTTTTTTTGGGTACCAGCGATGAAACTCTGGACCTTGCACTTGCAAGGCAGGTGGTGGAACCACTGAGATAAATCCCCGGCCCTCAGAATATTTTTTATCACACTTCATAAAGATACTCCCAGAACCACTTCAGAAAGAGGCAATGGAATAAGTATGTTCAAAGTGAAGAAGGCATATCTTGAGGGGAGCTAATGGCAATATGTCTTTTACTGTAATAAAAGTTCTAAATTTAAACATTCATTGTATATTTTGATCACACCTCATAACCATTGTGATCTTGACTATTTAACCTCTTTGTACATCAATTTCTTCATTCATTAAGTGGGAATAACCCTACTACCTAAATAAGAGTGCCTGTAACATATTAAATGCCCCCAAAGGTTACAGATTACAATTATATGTAGTTCAACATTATCATCAACTAGTAATTTAGAAAGTAACAAGAGAATTGTTTAAGACATAATAGATCTCATACATACAGACACATGCACATACAAGCATCTTTACAAAAACAAGTATCACTTAGTGATCAAATTGGAGTGAGGGTATATTCAAAGAACTTACCTTTTCTTTCCTCCACAATTTTTACAGAGATGACATTTTTATCCATGGGGTTGGGGTACTAAATAAAAACACATAAAGAAGAATTATCAGTCATCTTTTACTAAAGGGAATTAGTAGCAACAACAGCTATTTGCATGACCCATAAATATTTGCCAGGTAACCTCTATGTGAAGACCAGTTTTAAATCAAGATCTAATTTCATCATTAGGGCCTGAATAAGCGAGATGCCTAAACCTATATGAAAACCTAACCCAGGGTAGAGAGGCAGGAGTGACATGAAGCTAATTAATAAATAATACTATTAATATTGAACCAGCCTAACACAAATCAAGAGTGTTCTTTGAGCCACTGTGCTGTTTTAATTGCATAATCTCATCTAAATTAAACAGCCACTCTGTTGTGAATGAACCATATGATATCATTTTCTCCATTTTTCTTTTCAGAAGTGGAAAATGAATGAAGAATGGACTGCTTAGAGTCACCCAGCTGGCCCTTGCTGGAGCCAAGAAATTAAACCAGGCTGTTTGAAACTGAGCGAATTCCTTCAGTACTGTCCTATATCATGGCCTGGTGGCTGGGTTAGCATCTCAGGAGAATAATCACGGACTTAAACCATGCTAGTGAAACAGTAGATGTTAAAAAATTATTTAATTTGTTGATTAAGTTCTCTTGAAAGGCAACTGGGATGTGGCAAGGTTGATGATGGGTGTCATTTTGTCCTAAGCAATTTACATACATTGTCTCAGTTGAGTCTCAAAAATACTCCATGAAATATGTTATTTTTTCTCATTTCATGTATGAAAAATTAGGCTTTGATAATTTGCTCAAGGGCAGAGGATTTAGCTCAGTGATTCTGCCATCTGCCTCTCAAGTGCAAGGTCCCAAGTTCGATCCCCAGTACCAAAAAAAACCCCTCAGGATAATTTGCTCAAAATAGCTAACAAGTAATGTATTTTCTCTCCAGATACTGTCTGTCTCCAAAGCCTGCCATTCTAACCCATCGTGAAATCACCTCAGAGTTTCTCAAACAAAACCCTTTCCATTAGTTAGATGCAAAAAGAAGGAGCAAAGTTACCCCCTCAAAACCGCAGAAGTGGTGGCTGCTGACTCAAGCCTGATAAGCTTCCTTGGACCTTTTCCTCCAAGGTTTACTGCCTCATCCTAATCAAATCTGAAAAGGAAATGAGTAGGAAGTCCCATGCAGGACATCACAAGGTATGAGCCAGAAGCTAGAGCAAGACAAGCTGAAGGGTGGGAGAAGTGGGTCTTAGAGCCCTCTTGAGGAACTTCGAGGACTTGAGCTCCATGTTGTCTGAATCCTAGGAAATGGAATACAAAACTCTGTGAGTGTGGGTCTCCTCTATCCTACAGCAACCACACCACACGCATCCCTGTGTGACTGTCTCTGAGTGTTTGTGTTTAAGAGTTTGACTGACTTAATGATTTTCAGGGGAAAGAGTCCATCACTAATCACTGTCACAGTCACACATTCTAGTTTGGTTTTTTTTTTCCCTTAGCGGGGTGGGTCTGTTTGTTTGTGCGCAGTACTGAGGATTTAGCCCAGGACTCACACATGCTAGGCAAGCACTCTACCACTGAGTTACACCTCCAGCTCTTTTTTAATTTTTTTATTTTGAGACAGGGTCTCATTAAATTGCCCAGATTATACTTGAACTTGTAATTCTCTTGCCTCAGACTCTCAAGTAATTGGGATTACAGGTGTGTGCCACCACACCTGGCTACTTTCATACATTCTTAAAGATATCTGTGGCCCAAAAAACACATTAGAGTAAAGCTTCTCCTCTATGAAAGCAGGAATATTATCTATTTCAGTAAGTCCACCAACCAGTCCAGGGTCTGCCAGGTGGTAAGCACTCAACAACTGTTTGCTGAATCCGTGAATGATTTGGAATATAGATTTCAATGGGCTGGGGACCAATTTCGATGGCAGCAGCTCAGTCTTCAGCTGCCTCAGTACCTCATCACATTCCATGTTGGCAAATGTCACTCACACCTCCATCCTGGAACTGCAATCTTGATAACTAATGAGAAACATAGTTTCTAAAAATGCTTTGAAAACATTCATTCATTCATGTCAGCTCTAAGAAGAAGTGCTCAAAATTGTAATGACTGTTTTCTTAAAAGTTTAGCCCTTTGAAGATGCAGGTCCACTACACAGCATCAAATTTAGATATCCTGTTTCTAGCTGAGAAGACATTTATTAACCCCAGGCCTGTGAAACAGCAGAGACATCTGAGACTCACACATGTCCCTGAATCATATACATACATGTAAATTATAACGTGCACACTACAGTGAGATTGCTTCCTTTACCACATTCTATTCTGTTCACTATGTACCCATAAATGCATCCTGATTGAATATTACAAATATACTGTAAGTTGTAGGAAGATTACTAAATTATAAAGGAGGTTGGAAATGTAATCACCAGAGAAATATAGTGATAAAAGTCTTCAAATCCTGATTACTTCACTCAGTTGTCAGTGAAATTTCTAAAGATTATACATAATTTATATAACTTTTAATATTTGTTTGTTAAGACAAACGGTATTTAAATTATAGTGGAAATAGTCTCTAGTTATAGTTCATTTAAGTTTTTGAGTACATACAATAGCAGATACTGTTCTAGGCACTGAAAATATATTAATGAGACAAAATCACAGTGTCTCATAGATTTTCATGTTAGTTGGAGAAACAAACAAACAATAAATATGTCGATTTGCTCAAGACAAAATAAACCGGACTAAGACATGATGGGCAGATGGAAAATCAGGGAGGAAAGCACTGAAAAATACTTAAATGTCACCCATCAGACATTGCTTGTAAATAACAAAAGTAAAATGGAAACCACATTAGCCAAACACAAGAGACCATAAATTGTTTACTCTCGTAAATAATTATTTGCAAGATTCAAGACATTTTCCTACACAGCTACTTCTAGAGTTGAATAAACATGAGAGTCAAGTTTCCATACTAGAATGGTACAAGAAATTAGAGGTTTATGTGCAATACCTAAATACCATGAGATGAGTGGCACATATTTTAACTTTTTCTTTCAAAGATGTATTGAACTCAGGCTTTCTCTACCTGCCATAATTGGAAATAATCTGATGCCATCTTGTGGTAATTTGTATATTCATGTTCTAATCCACCAAAACCAAAAAACAAAATTTTTTGAGACAAAGTCTCTCAATGTTGTCCAGGCTGACCTTAAACTCACAATCACAATTACCCAGAAATTCATGAAAATTTATCTGAAGTCAGATTTAAAAGGCTGAAAAGAGACAAGGCTGCTCAGAAAAGATCACCACTAGGAATCCCAACCAGGGAAGACAAGAAACAGGTGGACGTATTCCTGGACAGCTTTTCAAATACATATGACCGTGGAATGGATCACACCCGATCAGGACCAAACTCACAGAAGACCTATTGAGTATCTACTGTGCCCGTGAACAGTGTTGTATTAGATAGAGGCCACCACGAACATGAAGTCATTTAGTCCTTCCCAAAGCAATGAAACATTAACTAGTAATAAGATACGGAGTCTTTCTGTTAAAAACCTAATGGTGTGACACCTCCACACAAGCAGAGTCACACTGCAATTCTCCAGTCTCTCTTCCACAGTCCTGGAAGAAAAGTGGTCTGATGACCTAAATTTCTGCTGAAAGCCTTTGTCTTCCTTGAACCTAGCTCAGCAGATCAAAAACCTCAGGTGCCTAAGAATTATCCCACAAGCTGGGTGTGGTGACGCTCATCTGTAATAACAGAAGGAAAATCTGAGTCCAATCTGGGCAACTTGGCAAGACCTATCTCAAAATAAAATTTTAAAATAGGGCTGGGGAGGGCCGGGGATTTAGCTCAGTGGTTCCACCCCCTGCCTCGCAAGCACAAGGTCCAAGTTTGATCCCCGGTACCAAAAACAAACAAACAAACAAAAATAGGGCTGGGGAAGTAGTTCAATAATTCCTAGGTTCAACCCCCAGTACTGCAAATAATAATTATCCCACAAGACCACACACATACACTGCAGATGCTATACTTGATGGGTTATTTAATGGATTTTTTTTTCAGGACACATTTGACTTATTATCTTGTTTGTTTGGGGGTTTTTGATTGTTTTTTAAAGGAAGGTTTATTTAGCTCACAATTTGTAGAGGTTTCAATCCATAATCAGCTGGCTCCAAGGCAGGGTGGCACAGCAGACAGGCATCACAGAGGAAAAACAGCTCATGATGGGCAGAAGGTACATTTGACTTCATTTTGATCTTAGTTATGATTTTACTTCCTGCACAGAATGAGAAAGCTAACTCCTTCCCTTTTCCCAAAATATAAATCAATTATAAATATCACCACGCATGTGGTATATGTGTAACAGTCTAACAAAGGTGAAATGTAGACTCTCCTAAGGTGATCATATACCCCTGCTTTCATTTATTCTTCCCACTTTAAAAAGTAAGTTGCCAAAAAATACATGGTGCTGGGTGGAAAATGTAGATTGAACACATAATTATGAAAAGTGAGAGGCCAAGAAATTGAGTCCATCTCATTACAGGAATAATATTAAATATATTTATAGGTATAGCTTGATAAAGATTTAGTATTTGTCTTTCTTACTTACTGAAGGACAAAATCATAATTCAGAAAGCCTACTGTTAAGAGTAAGGAGTTTTAAAATATCAATTTTCCAAAAATCTCAGAAGTCAATTCTTGCCTTTTATAACACTCACTCAGAGGGTCAATGGCCTCAAAGGAGTTGTTATACACCAACTTTCAAGTGGGGTTACTGAAGAGAGTACAAGGAAGCAGGTGAACTGACAGATCTCTCTGATTATGCTACAAAGAAAGCTGTCAGGACTAAAGTAAGTCTGTCATAGTAACACATACACATTTGCTTTATAAGCTTTAAGGGAATCTGCTACCAGGCTGCTTCTGAACATGTACATGCAAGGGGATGGGTCTGCTAAGAAAAGTTGGTGTTTAGTTATGCACATAAGTGTGTGTACACGCACACGTAATCACCACAGTCTGCCAAATGCC